GGGCGCCGAGGAGGACCGGGCGGGGCTGGGGAGGGGACGCGGCCGCGCGGCCCGCGGGCGCTCCTCACGGCCCCGCTCCTCCGCCCTCCGCGCCTCCCCGGCCTTATTGCAGCGTCTCCTCCGGCGGGGCGGGGCCGGGCCCGCAGAGCGACGAGCCAACGGGGCGCTCGGGCTCCGGCCTCCGCGCGGGGCGGTCCCCTCCGAGTCAGCCCCGAGCGGCGTGGCCTCCGGGCTTCAGGCAGCGGGGAAAGGGGCCAGGGCGCGGGCACAGGGTCTGTATGTAAACGGTGACAGCGGCGGGGGGCGCGGCGAGGGCTCCGGGGCCGCCGGCCGGGCGCGCTCGGGCCCGGGTGGCAGGTCCTGGCTCTCAGGAGTAGATGGTGATGACCTCGCGGCCGCCGCCGCGGACCAGCATCACCCGGTCCAGGTGCTCGGTGAGGACCTCGAGGAACTCCATGTCTGAGCGCCAGTCAAGGAGAAAAGCCGCGTCCCCTTCGCCCTGACGGAGTGGAGGGTCGCGATCGGGCGCCGGGGACCCCTGGGCCCGCCTCCCGGTCTGAGGTTCCTGACGCGGGAACGCCTCGGCTCTTCCCTCCCAGGACGAGGACCCCGTTGCCCCGGACGTCCGCCTCCCTCCCGCACGCCCCACTTTAGGTCCTGGATACAATTTTCGTCACCGTTGCGGTTGCGGGGAGGTCCAGGCATGTTGAGCAACACCAGCTTGGCATCCCGGGATTTCTTCACGATGACCTCGTTCAGCCGCACGGCAGTGTGCATGCGCCGCACGTTGGACTGGTTCCTGGGGGAGGCAGGAGGGGAGGCGGGCGCGTGAGCCCGAAGCCGGAGAGCAGGACCCAGTGCCCTTGCAGCCCCAGGCGCACTGGGCCGCTGGCACCGGTCAACCCCAGACCTCTCCAAGTTGGGCTGTTCAGAGACCCCAAACGGCCAGAGGCCCGCGCTGAGGGTTCGTGATAGACTGAGGAGAGCAGGGACCCTGGCCAACCCAGAAGAGAGAATTAAAAAATCCTGAAGCACTTACAAATTCTCCCACTCCCTTCGGGAAACACAAGAGAAGCAAAGAGAGGAAGAACAAGAGAGGGGTCAGAAGAAGGAGGGGTTGAGCACTTGGGCCACCATCCTCCCCCTCCCCCACCCAGTGCTCGCCGGTCCGGCTCTCCCGGCCACACCCCCTTCGCTTCTTCACGGCGCCCCTGGGAGCGCCGACCCTCGGCAATCAGCCCGACCCCAGGTCCTCGGATGGGGACGCCCAGACAAGGTCTGGGCGCGGTCTTCCCACCAGGACCTCCTCTGCTCATCTGCTCTGCCACGGGGAGCAAAGACCCTGCGGGCTCACCCCAGCCCCCAGCCCCGAGCCCGCAGCCCCCAGGCCCCTACGGCTTCATGCTGAAGAAGTCCTTGATGCCCTCCGAGGAGACGGGACTGGGGCCCTTATTCTTCTCTGCCACCGACTTGTCCTTGGTCCAGGTGAGATGCACCTTCTCAGGATCGGCCTCGCCCTCCCCCTCGGGCTCCTCCCCCGGGGACGGAGAGCTGCTGGGGCAGCTGGGAGCGCTCTGGTCGTGGATGAGCTGCACCTGGGAGATGAAGGAAGGGGCAGGCAGCACGTGACTCCCTTGGCGGAGGCCAGAGGTGCGGCTCCCACGGCTGGGGCCAAACCACCCAGGCGCACACCTCCTCTTCTGGCTTCTCCTCACTGTCACCAGCGGTCTCTTCTGGGACGTTGAGGCGCAGCCGAGTGTTGGCTGGATTCTTTCTCCGGATTGAGCCGCGAGACTCATCTGTGATACTCTGGATCTACGGAGTGACACAGGTTAGCGCCAGCTCGGCTAGGAGTCACCACCCGTGCCCTGCAAACAGCTACCTCCAGAGCTGATGTTCAGCCACGATGCACACTTCTGGGAGCCGTACCAGCTGTTAAAACATTGCAAGGCTTCCATACCAAATAGCTTTTGCCCCGCTGGCCTGGCCGCTCCAACTCATCCGCAGAACCCCTGACCTCCCCACCGTCCAGCAAGCAAAGGGTTAACACTTGGCCCAGCAGGGCTCTATCTTAGCACCGTGGTCCAGTGTCAGTTCTAATTGTCAGTGCACATGCCGTGGTTTTTTTTGTTTTTTTTTTTATTGTGTTCACTATCACCCTGGACAACATCCTTGAAGTGTTCACCTTTCCCAGCTCCAAAAGGTACCCACCACTCATTCCCCTGAAGATCCATTAACCAAATCTGAGACATATATTATCCACACCTGGGAGACCCCCTCAACCATGGTCTGTCGCTCTCACCTACAGGATCGATTCCACAGGCAACCTGTCACCTGCCCCCCAGAGCTCTTCAGTCCCCTGCCACAGAGTTACCATCACTCATTTCACCAAGGGGTGGGCTTTCATCCCAACTCGGGGCGCTAGTGGTCCACGTTACTCACACCTGGGAGATCTTACACCCATACCCCGTGGGGGGCTCATCATCATTACCCCCTGAGAACTCATCAACCGTACCCTAGGAGGTATGCCCCCAACTCCCAACCATCAGCTATATCCCTAAATAACCATCTGTTACCCGCTCTCGCAGGGTCTATCACATGATCCCCCACACTCGGAGCCCACGCCCATGAGGAATCATCATCCATACATATTTAGCTTCCACGATTCTCCCTTGGGCCCCAGAAGTCACATACAGAGGAAAATCTGTCACCCGTGCCAAAGCCCTCTGCATCCTGGCTGGCAGGCTTGGTAGGTGCCATGTACCCCTGCTGCTAGGGAGGTGGGGTTGAAGGGAATAAGGGTGATGAGTAATGCTCTAGGGTGAAGGCCGTGCCAATGGCCAGGAGTGTGAGCCCCGGGCCATCCCTAACCTGTGCAGACCCAGAACTGGCAGCAGCTTGAGGCTCTCAGAGCCCAGCCAGGGCGACCTCACCTCGCGCTCTCGCTCATTCTTGGTTAAATGCATCTGTTTGAGGATCTGAGAACGCTGCTCCATCACCAATGTCTTCTCGTAGGTGTATGCCGAGATATCGCTTTCATGCTGTGGGCGGACAGGGACGGGGGGGGGGGGGGCGGGGGGCAGGGTAGAGTGACAGGGGCAAGGGAGGAAAGCATGAGCTCAGGTGCAAGGCCAAGGGAAGGGAGGCGGACCCCCTTCCTTCTGCCAGCCTAGGGCTTCTCTCTCTAATGACCTAGTTTAACCAATAGCCGTGGGAGGCAAGGACGAAGCAGAGGACAATGCTCTTTGAAGACAATGCTGCTCATTCCCTCAGCCCAGCACAGGACCAGGGTGTGAATGGGTGAATTAATGAATGAGCAGATTAATTAATTACCCGGGTGAATGGAGAAGGGGAAGAAATTTTAAAGGAACAAAGTGATGAATGAATACATATATGGATGAATGGGTAGTTGAGTGAATGACTACATTAATGAATACACAGAGGGATGGGTGGACACGTAAATAAACCGAGGGGGACGGATGGATGAGAGGCCATGCGGTGTAATCGCTAGGGGCCTGGACTCTGAAGTCAGCCTGCCAGGGTTTGCATCCTGGCGCTGCCATTTGGTTGTCCTGTTGAGCAAATTACTTAACCTTTCCGTGCTTCAACTTCCTAATCTGTAAAATGAAAATGCTGATACTTGTATCTGTTTCACTGGTTGTTGTGAGAATATATATATATATATATATATGGCGTGAGACAGTGCCTTACATATAATGACTTGGCTATTCTTGTAAAGAAGAGAGGGACGGATGGATGGATAGATGGGCAGACTCTTGGGTTACTCCAAGAGAGGCTAAGAGGTAGGTAAGATGGGGAAGGGATCCAGCATCATAAGCTGATCGATTTGGGGGTCGCCCTATTTGGTGCTAGGGCCAAGAGGAAAGAGGGCCGGCTAGGACTCCAGAACTTCAGGGGTGGCTGGTAGGGACTCACCATCTCCACGACCTCGACCTCCGCGGTGATACGTAAATGGTACAGAAAGGTAGTCAGGTCCTTTTTCATCTGGATGCTGTTGTCGTCCATCTGGGCCACGGTGAAGATGCGCATCTTGCACTTCCGCCAGACCTGGAGGGGTGAAAGGGACCCAGAAAAGCCCAGCCCAGACGCAGTGAGAAAATTCAAGGTCAGAACCTAGAGAGGACCCTGTCCCTCACCCTTCCCACCCACCTTCCCCCCGCCCCCCCCCCACACACACACACACACACACACACACAGACCCAAAATCCTCTACCTGTGAGGCCACTCCCTACAAACCACCCCCCTCCCCCGCTTAGGTAAGAGTCCCCCTTAAAGTATCGCTTGCAAGGGTGAAGCAGCGCTCTCCTTTACAAGGCAAGGACACCCGCCAGAGGAGACACACTCAGGTCCTAACATCTCAGGGGAAGGGAGGCGATCAGCCCCCCTCTTCCAGGAGCTCCCGGGGAGGGGCTCACGTGGAGGCTGGCCCTGGCCAGAGCCCACGAGCCACGCAGAGCCATGCTCGCTCACCTTGTGGTGTCGCAGCAGGAAAGGCAGCAACATGAGCATGCCTCCGTCGTGCACAATCCACCAGACGTCGATGCTGCCCTCGGAGAAGCGCTCAGGGTTCCCAGGGAACATGGAAACATTCTTGGTGACCAGTAGGGCCAGGTGACCAGCTGTGGTTTCCCGGACCAGCTCTGGGGAAGGCCAAGGAGAGGGCCAGAGGGGAGAAGAGCGACCCCGGTCCCTTCCTGCACCAAGGCTCCTGGCACCCAGCACCACTCCCCCCCCACCCCACCCGGCCCCGGCCTTGGCCTGAGTAGTCAGAAAACCAGCATCTACGTAGGTCTCATCACTGAATTGTTGTTTTGGTTGGGGAAAGCCTCTCGACCTTGCTGGGCCTCAGTTTCCCCACCTGTCAAGTGGCAATGAGACCACCTGCCCTTCCTATCAGGAGCCCTTCCGTGCACGGCCTGGTTTATCCTCTCAACTGCCTTTAACTATGATCCACCCGGAAAGGAGCCAAAATAGCCTGGAGTCAACAGGGCAGCCTCTAGGCGCCCAGCTGTGTGATCTGGAGCAAATTCCTCCATCTCTCCGGGCCTGGGCCTCCGTTTCACACCAGTAAAGGGGAGATGACACTGCCTCGCCAGCCCACACGGGACCGCTGAGAGGATAAGAGGCTTAGAGAGAGGCTCAACTTGTCTGGCAGACAGAACACAGTCCATACATGTCCGCTATTATATTACTACCAAGGCGTCTAGTGCCCAGAGAGGGTGAGTCACTTGTGAACGATCACACAGCTAGGAAGGGCCAGGGGTGAGATTGAGACCCAGGCCTCTCTGACTTCGCAGCTGTAGCTCTCTCGGCTGCCTTCCACTGACTCTCTCTCTCGGGGCTGAGTCAGCTCTGCAGGGCCCAAGACTATCTCCCTCACACCTGAGTCCTCAGCGGCTGGCACGTGGCCAGCTCTGAGCACCGACCCCCCCCGCATGTGCAACACCCGGGAAAGAGCCCCCGGGCCCAAGAGGGAGAGCCCACCGCCCACCACTGTCCCCGGCCCACCCAGTGTTACCAATGAAGTTCCTCCATGTCTGATGATCTTCCTTCTGCCGCCAGTTGCGGGGCCAGCCAACCAGCACGGTGTTGTGCTGCAGCCCCCCGAGGCCCCCGGACTGGATCAGATGTGACACGCCGTCACGCAGGTTGGAGGAAATCACTACCTGGCAGAAGCCTTTCACCTTCTCTGCCTCCATCAGGCGCCGGATGGACTGGGAGATGGGGGGAGGGGCGTGTCAGACAAGGACGAGCCTCAGGCCTCCCTTCCGGCTGTCTCTCCCCTTCACTGTCCCCATCTTCTCGAAGTTCAGCTCCGATCACGTCAGCCTCTGGCACCAGAATCGTGCATGGCTCCCCATCACCTATAGCCAGCCCCATTCCTTGTGGATCCGGCAAAGCTGTCTGTGACCTTAGCCCACACTTCCCGCACCCTGCCTTCGCTGGCAAGCCCTCCACCCCCACCGGGACCCTCCCCCCATTGCATATTACACCCTGCTGGCCCAACTCAAATGTCACCTTCTCAGAAACCACCCCCCACCCAGACCAGAACGGAACTGGGCTGCTGTGCATGCCCCGACGATTTGTTTTTAACAACTTTTAAAAGTTAGCGTAATGATAAGCATTTTCAATGCACACTCAACCTGCACTATGAAGGTAGGGTTCTTATTAGTCTTATGTTATAGATGAGGCAATTGAGGTTCGGAGAAATTAAGCCTTCCTTAAGGCCACCCAGCTAATGGGTATGTTATTGTAGGGGTTCAACTCCAGGGCTCTGACACCATCCCCCACACTCTAAACCCCTACCCCGATGTCAAGCAGAGAGGGCTTCGACTCCTACCTCGGGCACCTCCTGGCTGTGTGACCTTAGGCAAATCGCTTAACCTCTGTGAGCCTCAGTTTGCCCATCCATCAAATGGGAATGGCAGCTACCTCATTGAGGAACAGGCAGAATTACAGGACATGATGTGGGTAAGGTAGCCTGCTGCTTGACAGATTGGAAGCACGCAGCACATTCTATTATTCTGATGATATGAACCCTAGTGAAGCATCTACCAACAGCAGGAAGGCTTGAGAGCCTTCTGGGTACGTTCTATCTTCCCACTAGCCTGCGAGCACCTTGAGGCCTGGGATCTGGTCTTATCCACCCCCCATCTCCCCAGGCCCAGCCCGCTGGGTGGTTCGCGGCACCTTCTCACCCACTCCATATTGAAGGAAGTTGACCAGTGGAGGCCTCCAGCCCTGGGCCCTGACAGATTGGTGTGAACGGCCCAGTGAGGCAGAAACAGCAACTGTCACAAGCCATTAGGGGTACTCCTCCCCATCTCTCCTCTCCCCCCTCCGGCCCCCTTTCCTTTCTCCACAACTAGTCACAGCCCCCAGGGGAGAGAAGCCTGGATCGAAGACAGAACCCACCTGCTCAGCTACCCACCAGGTTCCAGACACGTGTTAGTGCCCCATAACACAGAAGCCAGCCGCCCCTGCCCACGCTGGCCCTGTACACTAAGAGCACAGACCGGTGCTCTTAGAAGCAGGTGACCCAGAGCCAGGGACCCAGGCTCAAATTCTGCCTGTGCTCCCAGCCAGCTCTGTGACTTTCAGCAAGCTGTCTTCCCTCTCTGGGCCTGTTTCCCCTTGTACTAAATGTGGATGCTCACACTGCCAACTTCACGCGGCGTGAGGGTCGAAAGAATCATAGATGTGAAAACACTTTGAAAGATTTATACGTTGGCAGGGAGAAGCCTGGAGTAGGAGTCACGCAGTCCTAATTTGAGTCTGTTTTCTGTCCTTAGACAAATGACCTGACTCCTCTAAGCCTCAGTTTCCCTATCCATAAAGTGGGGCCCTTTTGGCTCTGAAGGTCTTTGGTTCTGACAATTGGATTCTAAGGAACTCACTCGCTGAGTCCTTAGATTCCTCTTCTAAGAAAGAAGAAAGAAAAGCATGAGCCACCTTTGACCCCAAAGGAGGTAAGAAGGCAAAGTGTAAAGGGTCAAGTCAAGGGACTTGTCCTTGCCCCCTTCCCACCAGGGACTCCTCTCACCTCCTCCGCCCGCTGGGCCTGGGGATGGTTGTCCAGAAAGGTGCCCTCAAGGACAGAGCCCACAATGGTCAGGCCCTTCCCTGCCTTGAGCTGGGAGGTCAGTGAGAGCAGCTGTGGATGTACCACATTCTGGTCTTGGTCCACGCGCACCAGCACCAGCAGCTGTGGCCTGAAAAGGATTCAAGATCCATTCAACACCCACCCAACTTCTACCCACCATACGCCATGCCCCCACACACCAAAACACTGGTGAGCTTACTAGCCATCCGTCCTCTATACCCCCACCCACTTACCCATCTCGCTGTCCACCTCACTCATCCATCCACCCAGTCACCCACCCACCCATTTTATCCTTCAGCCACCCACTCACATCCATATTAATTTACCTACATATGCATTATTCACCTAGTTACCTAACATCCACCTGCCACCAACCATTACACGTTCATCTATTCACCAATCACCCTCCCATACATATATACACTTAGCCATCTACTCATCTGTTTATCCATTCACTTCCTTTTTCATTTGGCCATCCCATCCATCCAAGCAACCATCAGTTTAAGAGCATTCTCTGAGCACTCTGGGCTAGACCCTGTGGCAAGCATTTAAGAATTCACAAACAACGCAAAGCCCTGGTCTCTGGAAGACACAGTTTAGTAGACATCAGCAAGTGCAAGCCAACAGTGTCCTAGTCAGAGCTCAGAGTTCAGGCCTTCCTCTCGGCAAAGTGACCTGAGGGAGGTGAGCGAGGGCTGGGCTTGCAGAGCAATCAGCTAGAAAGCAGGCGGGGCTGAGAGGTGGAGGTAAAGACTCTGCTTCCGGTTCTGCCTTCCGTGGCCTCTGAGACCTTCTCTGGTCCCTGATGTTCACACGAATAAAGTGGAGGGATTGTTCTCAATCTAGAAATTTCTAGAGACCCCCTATAACTCTCAAAGTGAATGGGTCCACCTTTCCCAGAGCAAATGCTACACGATATTACGTTTATCTGTCTCCGTGTGTGCCTGCTCCATGGAACTAGTCACTCTCTAGGTCCCCCGAGACTGGAAAGGGGCCCGGCACAGATCATGCATTCACACATGTTTTTAAACACATGATGAGGTGAACGGGGGGATGAATGGATGGTTGCTCAGCCTGACCCCGGGTACCGCAGGTGGGAAAGGTTCAGACTAGGCTGAGCAGAGGAGGAGACATTAAGGACACACCATTGTGGCGGGAACACCACCCAGCAAACAAAACAGGTGAGGGAGAGTCAGGCCCTGCTCCCCTCCTGTCCTTCCCCTGGGCCCTCCCACGTGCTCCTGGCCACTTACCTCCAGTTCTTGGTATGTGGGGGCCCTTCCTCCAGGCGTAAGAGGGCGTAGCGTGCAGCGCTGAGGGACAGGCCTCGGATCCCATCACCCCACTCTTTCTCTGCCCTGGGGACCCAAGGGGATCAACCAGAGTAGAAAGCCAGGGGTGTCAGGAAGAACCACGCACACACAAGTGGCTGCTCCAGCAGACAATGTGCAGCCATTCCGCCACCTCCTTTTCTCGAAGCTTCAGCCCCTCCCTCAACTCCTGTCCCCTATCTCCCAATCCCACCCCTACCACCCTTCCCTCTCCCTTCCAGCCCCAGCCTCTTCCCACTCTTACCTCATCCCTACCCCCTTCCAGCCCTCCCCACTTCCTCACACTTACCCGCGGTACTCGATATATTTGTAGATGAGCCCAGCAATGAGCATGGCCACCAGGGCGTAATACCAGGAGCAGATAAACATGAGGGCCAGGCAGAGGCTCATGCCCAGGAAGGAGAGTGTCCTGAACAATGGGAGGAAGACCCAGCCTCTGAGTCCCAGCAGGACTGTCACTGGTTTCCGGGGCTCAGACAACAAGGCAAGAACTGGGAGGTCTAGGGCAGCTCAGGTCTGTGGGAACTCACACCATCATCTCCAAGAGCACCATGGGAATCTGGGAGCTTCTGGGTGAATGAGCAGCCACAGACAGCGCCACTCCATGACCCCCCCCCCCAACTCCTGAGAACACACTGCCTTGTCCCAGTGCCTTAGACCCTGCCGCACCACCCTGCCAGATTGTTTCTGAGGCACAGGTGTCTGGAGAGAGTTGTAGGCAAGATCTCCTGGGAAGAGTGTGTCCCCAGGAGGAGGTAACTGGCAAAGCAGGAGCACTGAGATGGGAGTCAGGCAGCCTGGGTTCAAGTCCAGGTCTGCCGGAGACTTTCTGAGTAACCTTGGCCACTCCCTTCCCCTGTTTGAGCCCGTTCCCTCTCCGTAGACCAAGCATGGTCATTCCTGCCCTGTCTGCCCCACAGGCCTATTGTGAGGATGAAGGACCATAAAGTAAAATGATCAGAAGAGCCCCAGGCTCCACATAATAAGAATCTTCCATGCACTAAACCCTGTAACACTCACGAGGGCCCCTGAGGTCAGTGCAGTTGTCATCCCCATTTCACAGCTGAGGACACTGAGGTTTCCTCTTCTAGACTGAAAGACGTTGGGCATTGTGGGGAGGGAGGGACTATAGCCGAGACTGTTCACGACTGTGTTATATTATTATTTGTGGTTATAAGGTTCTCCAGAACCTTTCTCATGCTACTTGGGCTACAAAAGCTGGAGAAATGGACTCCTTTTTTTAAATTTTGGGACCCCTAGACCTAGGGGATGGGCTAGGGTGAGGTGGGGTGGGGGTGGAGATAGGAGAGTGTTCTGTTAGCCAGGGAAGGGCACAGGGCACCCACCAGTGGTAGTATCGAAAGCGTGGCCTCCAGTTGGGGGTCCTCAGCAGTGTCTGTACGGCACAGGCCAGGTTCACAAACATGTAGCACATCAGGAAGAACCTAGAACACAGAAAGGCCCCAGGAGAGGCAGAGATGCAAAGGGAGGCAGAAACAGAAAGAGAAACATAGGGAAAGAAAGGGGGGAAAGAGGATAAGAAACTGAGGAGGTGGCCAGATCACATTCTGGAATGGGATTCAAGGGCCAGATCCCCTTTCAGCACACCCTGATGTGTGTGGGAGTGAATCTTCATATAACAAAAGACAGGTTGTTACACTATTGGGTGGGCTATCCAGGGTCACAACTGGAGGATCCAGGTAGAGAGACCCCCCCCCCCAGAGCTGATGGGGAGGGCAAGAGGCCAGCACGCACATAGAGAGGATGGGGGCAACTTCATCGAGGGATGCAATGAGAATGCCAATCTCACAGATGCAGGCTGTCAGGAGCAAGGCCCATGTTGGCTCTCCGTTGGCTTTGCCGTGGCCAAAGACCTGGGGACAGAGCAACCATCATAGAGGTCTGAGATCTTAGGCATTTCTTGTCTCTCTTGTCCAGTCTTGGGGACCAGTGCAATGGAGGCAGGAATCCCCTAACCAGTGAGGACGTAGGGAGAGGATGCTGTATTCCTCACCCTTACCCAAGGGGATGCCAGTCTTTGGCTGTGTCTCTCCCACTCTGACATTGGTACTTCAATTAATGAAGTTCAAATGACCCCTTAAGGGGAAAAGAAGGACCTGTAGGACAGATGGAGAGGAGCTACAGGGGCCAGCAAGTGGCCATGACTGTGTGCTCCATAAATCTTTTTTTTTTAAAAGCACCATGGAGAGAGCCACACTTGCCCTTTGGCTACCTCCCTGCCTGATCACTCAGCCAAAGGAGGGCTAATGGTTTCTCCCCTAAGAGCAGACAACTCTGCCCAAAGAGATAGCACTGACCATAGGCCAAATCCCAAATAAGGCACATCCATTCTTCTTATTGGTAGTGCAGAGCAGCAGGGCCCTAGGGGGCCTTGGCTCACCCGGTGGCCTCTCCGGGCAGTGGCTTGGCTGACCGGTATAATGGATGGGCTGTTCTTCCCACACTCCACCCCTCACTGACCTGCAGGAAGGGCACTATTCCGTCCCGGGAGATAGCCTGCAGCAGGCGCGGGGCCCCCGTGAGGCTCTGCAGCCCAGCCCCACAGGTGGAGAAGAAGGATCCGATGACAATGACCCAAGGGGATGGCCAGGCCAGTGTTCCCACCACCAGGTTGCCATTCACAGCTTCGCCAAACCTGGAATGAAGCAGCAAGGGGACAGGAGATGCTGGGTGAGCAATGCCACCTGGATCTCCAGGGCGTGTCTCCCACACCAACCCCAGGACCAGTTGTACACCCATCACAGGACTAGGCTCTCTAGGAGCAAGAGGGGAGACAAAGCTCCTAATGTCCTGGGCATTTCTGTCTGTGTGACCTTGGGTAAGTTGCCTCAGCTATAAAATGAGAATCATTATAAACCTATCTCGTATGTTTGGTGACAAGATAAAAGGAACCAACACAGGTAAAATGCTTTGCACTATGCCTGGAACAAGACACTAATAGTGATTCTAGTAAATGGTCAATATTGTAATATGTTAAGCTGGAAAAAAGCTCTTGGCTTATTAGAACCTGTGTCTCCATCTGAAAAATGGGGTTCTGGCCTCATTTATGGTAATGATATCTAATGTGAGAAGCATAGAAAAGCATTTTCTAACAGTGACACTATCTTAAATTGAATGATGCTGCCTCAGTAGGTAGAGAGAGCCCTGTGGCTGGAGTGTGCAAGCAGAGGTGTGCTCAAATGGGCTGTTGCTGAAGGACTCCAAAATCAGATGAAGGGTTTTACCGGATGGCCTGCTGAATCCCTTGCAGTTCTGTGGGAGGTCTCTGATTAATTTTTTTAATGTTGATTTATTTTTTGAGGAGGGGAGGGGCAGAGGGAGAGAGAGGGAGACACAGAATCCGAAGCAGGCTCCAGGCTCTGAGCTCTCAGCACAGAGCCCAATGTGGGGCTCGAACCCACAAACTGTGAGATCATGACCAGAGCCAAAGTCAGATGCTCAACCAACTAAACCACACAGGCGCCCCAAGGGGGGAGGGTTCTCTGATTAAATGAAATAAGTGGAGATTAAGTTCCCCTAAAAGGTAATAACTGTAATATATGCAAATTGTCCACTTGGCCAGGTCACTCCCCTGCTTAAAACCCTTCAGGGTTTCCTCTATTTTTTTTTTTTTTTTTTTTTTTTTTATAAAATAAAGCTCTAATTTCCTGGTACCAAAAACCAGGCTTCCAGGACTGGCTCCAGACGCATGTCCCCATTCTCCACCTTACAGAAGCCAGGATGGAGCCATGGAAACTGACTTCTGTGACAAGACCTCCTACTTTACCCTCCTAGTGGTGCGTGCCCATACCCTTCAAATGTGTAGGCTCCAGAAGCTTGAATTTCTTACAGCTATAGGCACCTATGTGTGCGCACGCACACACACACGCGCGCACACACACACACACACACACACACACACTACTGTTTCTCTCCTCCACCTTTGTTCATGCTGTTCCCACCACCTAGAATGCCCTTCCCACTCCTAGTTACCTAACTGATCTCTACTCAACATTTAAAGTGAGAAAGATAAGTGGGAAAATGTGTGTAAGGCACTTCCAGCATCACCTCCTCTTCCCCAACCCTCTGAAGACTGGATTACGGCCTCCTGTGCACTACCAGAGCCCATTCCTACTGCTCTACATTTCAAGTCTGTTGTTGAGCGTGGTTATCAGCCCCCAAAGAGCTCCTTCAGGACAAAAAGCATGTGTTATTTATTTTTATTCTCTCCTAGAACACTGGACAGCGACCAACATATAGATATCTAAGAAATGTTAAATGGGTTAATAGATTTTAAAGCAAAAAAAAAAAAAAAAAAAAAAAGGAAAGTAGCATTATCCTAAAAACAACGAGACACCATCCAAGTTTCTTGAGCTGGAGTGACAGGAGAAAGATAAAATATAAGAAGGTGAGCTTGCAAGCAATCGCCTGTGATCTCCCTCCCACAAGTCCCCTTGCACAGACTCAACACTCTCTGCGGGGTCTGTTTCCCAAAACCTGGCCCCATGCACCCACTACCCAGAACAGGATCAGCCCCAATTCCCTTACTTACTTGTCCCGCAGGACGACCCCCTCAATGCAGGCCCCAAACAGAACAACAGAACTGATGTCTGTAGCAGAGGATGAAGGAGAATCCCCAGGATGACATTCCCCTTTCTGCTCCCAGGCCAGCTGGGTGAGGCAGCAGCTTCAGCTGCCCTCCTCCCAGCCCTCCCTATCCACGGTGGTCCCAGCCCAGCAATGCAGGATACAGACAGCAGAGGTGGTGGCAATGGCCAGGATAGTGCCAGTGGGAATTGACTTCTGGGCATCCCGTAGGTCTCCAGAACGGTTAGAACCAGCCATGATCCCTGCGAATAGAGGAGCAGCTAGTACAGGGGCCACAGGAGACAAGACAGAACAAGAAGAAAGGACACCAGCCTCGGAGCCAGGAAGTCTGGGATCTAGTCCTGGCATACTGACTGGTGTGAGAACTCGGGCATGGCTTCTCCTGGCCTTAATTCCCTCATCTGTGCAATGGGAACTGGATTTTGGCTCCTGCCTATGTGATGAGATTGCTGGACTAAGAAATTCCCCACATCATCATTGACTCTCTCCACCCATCACTCTCAGGCAGAGTCCTCCCTCTCTGAGCTCCCCTTCACCTGTGACTGAGGGGAAGTAGATGCCAACCAGCAGGGTGAAGTAGGAGGTCATGTCGCTGAAGACATAAGGATGGTCCATGTCGACAGGGGTGCCATCTGCCAGGCCCACCGAGGGCATCCCACGTCTCTCCACAATCACCCCCTTGGTCAGGTAGGAGCTCCAGAGGTTCTCTGTGGGGAGGAGATATGATGCTTAGGAGGAAAACCAGAAGTCAGGGTACCAGAGCTCCAGGGCCAGGAGGTGGGGTGGGCAGAAAAAGAAGGGTCAAGGTCAACCACTTCTCACTCCTTCAAGGCCTTGGCTCTATTTTATTTCCACTGACATTCCCTAAGCTCCTGCTTTGGGCCAGGCCATGTGCAGAGGCTTTGCACATGAATCACATCTAGTCCTTGCCCTCAAATAGTCCAGTCTAGTGGGGTAAAAAGACACAGAAAGACCTATCTCAGACTGATTCAATATGTCCCAAACTGGTCTCACTGGCCAGCCACCTCACAACCAGCTCCTTTTTTGTATCCCTTATCTCATTAAATGGCACCATCATTAATTCAGACAGCTTTACATTGCCCTCAACTGTTCCCTTTCCCCATATCTGTTTCAAAACCATCTCCAATTTCTGTCTATTATCCCTTCTAAATATTTCTCAAATATGCCCCTCCTCTCCTTTTCAGGATTTCCTCACTTCAGCCTTATTGACATTTGGGGCCAGATAATCCTTTGTTGTGGAGGGCTGTCCTACAGCACTATAGAATGTTTAGCAAAATACTGGTTTCTATGCATTAGATGTCAGTAACAACCATCTAGTTGCGATGGCCAAAAATGTCTCCAGACATTGCTATATGCCTCCTGGGGGGCAAAACAGCCCTGGGGGAGAACCACTGCTCCACTCCCATGGACATCACTCGATTACTCTTGATCAGAAAACTATCATCTGTCACCTGAACTCAGCATCAGCCTCCTCCTGGACTCCCTGTTCTCTCTCCCTTTACCTCATCCATATTAACACCCAAAAAGAACCTTTAGAAATAACACTGACCATGTCCATCCCTTATTTGAAACCCTTTCATGGCCCCCATTGCCCTCAGGACATGGTTCAAACATTTCAATATGGCTTCCAAGGCCTGCCGCCATCTGGCTTATGCCACCCTCTCCAACATCATTTCTTGCCCCTCCTTCCTTTGTACTTTATGCCCCAGTCATACCAAATTATCTGTGGTTGGAAAGACACAATATGCTCTTCTCTGTCTGCATGCTTTCAGGCAGGCTGTTCTTCTGCCTTGATTCCTTTACCCCCCTAGTATAACTCAAAATCTCTTATTTTTCCTTCAAAACCCTCCTCAGATGAGTCTAGGAAGCCTTGTCTTGCCCCTTTATACACATGACCACTCCCTCCCCTGAGAGGACTCTGTTCATTGAAGGCACATCAGCTCATATTGTAATTTATTTGCTTATACATCTGTGTCCACCATTGGACTCCTTGAAGCCAAGGACTGTGACATTTATATCATGTTCCTGGTGCTTAGCACAGTGCTAGACACCACAGAGATGATTAGTGGTGAATACTTGTTTAAACTGATGACTTTCTTTCCTACTAGGTAGTAAGGTATTGAAGGCTCCCTTTCATCTCTATTCCTCCAAGATGCCAAGGAAAGATGGCCCAGAGTAGGTGCTCAATTAAAACTGATTGAGTTTAAGTGAATCCCAAGTAGAGTTCCTTAATCCTGACTGTTTAACCCACAATCCCTGTAGTGTTCCCTGGACACCAGCCTTCTTCCCTCCCCTCAGACCTTTGATGAGGCCACTGGCAGCGCCAGGGATGCCCTGGATCTCCGTGACATTGTTTCGGGTGAAGTACTCATCACAGGTGGCGTTGAGGAAACGGGAGGAACAGAAAAGGCCCCAGAGCCGTGTGGTCACCGTCTCATTTCCTTCCCAAGCCAGCTTGGCACAGACATCAAAGCCATGGCGAGATAGTGTGCGGTTCCCCAGGAGGCAGATCCTAGGGAGAGCGACAAGGGAGGAAGATGGGGGAGGGACATAACCTTGCCTTGGCTTCACAATAGAACCACCAGGGGAGCTCTAAAAAACACAGATCTCAGGGCCCCATATCCAGAGATCCTGATTTAATTGGGATGGAGCCCAGAATCGGTGTTTTTTTTTTTTTTTTCAAAGCTCCCCCAAGTGATTTTAATATGCAGCCACAGCAAAGAACCACGACTTTAGTACAATGCTATGTTTCAGAACCATGGACAGCAGTCTCTGTGTGCAGTCCTGGGCGGTGGGATTTAAGAGAATCTGTCCTCAAGAAAGAGGCAGGACCCACAAAGATTTGAGACTCTAGACCCTCTCTTCTGTGACCTTTCCCCCAACAGAGAAGGTATCCAACACTAATAAGGTGCCCTATTCCAGGAAGTTGTCTCCTGCCAGGAAATGCTTCTCTAACACAGAATCATCCCTTCAGAAATAATCCCACTTGGTTCTTCCCAATTCTGCTCCACCAGCAAGCAATTGACCCTCACAAGGGAAACTCTGCCCACCTCCAGAAACATTATCCCACCCTGTAGAGATTTCCCCCAAACAAGGAGAGATTTTACTTCCCAAGGGAGGTTGCTCTAAATCCACAAGGACTCAGATTCTGAGAGATGAGGAGAGGGAGGCTGGCAGAGACTGGCGTCGCAGACCCTGAAACCTAACCAGGGAGGAGGAGGACGATGCCTTAGACTCAGAGCAACAGCACTTACGGGAAGTTGGGTGGGTCGAAGGCAGATTTGATGACCCCAGCATAGATGGCCAGGATGGAGAGGATGACACAACCCAGGAAGACAAGGGCAAACTTGTTGACATACTTGACGCCCACAAATACCACAGTGGCCATGCAAGTGAGCACACAGGTGCCATACACACGCATATTGTTCAACATGGCTGCTGCCTCCCCACTGGCATCTTCTGCCTTAAAAATGGCCATAGCTGGGAAGAGGTAAGCCTGTGGAAAGGGGGCAAGGAGGTCAGGTGAGTGACACAGCAAGAACCAACTAAGAATCACCCCCAAGGATATAACCTGACGTGCAGGAAGAGCTTTGGAAAATACTTGCTCATCACGGTGTATTTACAGTAGTATGAGACTGGAAATGACATCCAATGATAGGAGTAAATATGATCATTTTTATTTCTACGGCATATTTGTATTTTCTAAAATTTTTAGACTGAATGTCAATATGTTTATATTCTTAAAAAAGTTATTTTCGGGGCGCCTGGGTGGCGCAGTCGGTTAAGCGTCTGACTTCAGCCAGGTCACGATCTCGCGGTCCGTGAGTTCGAGCCCCGCGTCAGGCTCTGGGCTGTTGGCTCGGAGCCTGGAGCCTGTTTCCGATTCTGTGTCTCCCTCTCTCTCTGCCCCTCCCCCGTTCATGCTCTGTCTCTCTCTGTCCCAAAAATAAATAAAAACGTTGAAAAAAAAATTTTTTTAATTAAAAAAAAAAGTTATTTTCGCTTATAAATGATATTACAAAGGGAGTTTCTAGTTACTTAGGGAAATCTATGGAGTCTATTTTACAAGGACAGAATACAATTTCACATGGTAAAAAAAAAAAAAAAGAAGGAAATACACCAAAATGTTAATGGTGATTTTCTTCAGGCAGTTGTTATTTCCTTTTTTATATTCTTTGATATTTTTCCAATTTTGCGCATTGAGCAGAATTGCTTTGAGCTGAGACCCACATCACTAGCCTCTCCTTCAAACACTGCCCAGCACCCTGATTTCTTCTCATCAGTCACTACTCCTAACATGTCTCTTACTCGGCTCTCTCACATCCTTCTTCTCTTTTGCAACCCATTGGTCATCAGTCCTGCACAATTAACATTCACAGAGAAATCAGCACAGTCCCAGGCACATGGCAGGCAATCACCAGATATAGCTATTGTGTGATATTACTTTAATTATTTCTACCACTATTAACTCTTATCGACCCACATCTGCCACTTGGTAGCTGAGTGACCTTGAGCAAGTCATGTCACCTCTCTGAGCTTCTCATTTGTAAAATGGGCATAATAATACTTAATCCTTGTGAGGATTCAAGATAATGACTGTAAAGCAATTGGAACTCTGCTGAGAGCACAGTGGGTGCCTGATGAACGACAGCTGTTCACGTTACGTAATTACTGTATCTTGTCTCCCCAACTAGACTGTGAATTTTTTAAAGACAGAACCACATCTAATTTCCTTTTGGCCTCACTGAGTGGCTTGGACCTCTCCCTAGGAGGTGTCCAGGGAGCATTGGTTAACTGATTGACAGCCTGGGGCCCCACACCTCCTCCTCAGCCCCTCTCACCAGCAGGATTTCGATGGTGCCCAGAATGTACATGGCCCCAGCAAATGTAGTGCCCAGGTAGAAGCAGAGGCCAACGGCGCCCCCAAACTCTGGGCCCAGAGACCTGGAAATCATGTAGTAGGAGCCGCCAGCTGCAGAAAGAACCTAGTGTCAGTGAGAAGTTCAAGGGGCACTGGGCTGCCACTGGGGGTGAGGGAGCTCCAGGACAGAGGTGGGAAAGGGGTTGTTCTGTGCCTCACGTCTTACAGGCTACAGCCCTACGACTGGTGGGAGACTCAGCCAGCCACTCTGAGTGGATTTTGCAGCACTAATTACCATGTTGCTAATTACCCCTCTAAGGAGGTCATGGCTCAGAAAAATAGGATGACGGAGAGGAGGGTCTCAGGCAAAGGGAGATCTTGCATTGCCCTGTTCAACTCCATCAACTGCCTCCCTCCCTCCCTCCCCCTTAATACCACTGTCCCCACCTACCCCACAAACATCATAGCCCAGACCCCAGGTCTTCAATATTGCCTCTCTTGGTCCTGATGACCCCAAAGCCTATGGCCCTGTCCTTCCTTCCAACTATCTGGGCCCCCTCCTGACCAACCAGACCCCTTTCCCCTCCAAGAAGCCCCATCACATACCAGGTACAACACCATTGGTTGCGATTGCACTCATGGAGATGGCCGTGAGCATTGTCTGCAAGGAGAGAGATCATCAGAGTGGCAGCTAGGGCAGGGGCCGCAGTGCCCTGGGTCAGTGCCAAACCTTATACCCCATAAACACCTGCCAAACCCACAAGTCCTTGCTGAGCTTCTCTCTGGTCCTGTTCCAACTTCTACCCCTGCCAAGTCCTTCTGGTCAAGAAAATCTCTTATTCACCATGCACATGGAGGAAGCACAAGCTATAGCATCAGAGAGCTCTGGAAATCCCAGCTTGGCCTCTGACCAGCTGTCTGATCTGGGACAAGTCACTTCACTTGTCTAAGCCTCAGTTTCTTCATCTATGAAATAGGTGTACTGTATTCCTGCCTCAATGCTTAAGCTGAATCTGGTCATGAGGAGATATCTGACCAACCCAGATCAAGGGACATCATACAAACTAACTGCTCCATACTCTTCAAAAGTGTCAATGTCATGCAAGACAAAGAAAGAGCAGCTGTTACAGATTAATGGAGGCTAAAATCATGATATCATAAATGAGTATAAACGTGATCTTGAATTTTCTTCAGTTAGTGAGGACATGATTGGCAAAATCTGAATAAGGCCTGCAGATAAAACATTATTAATGTGTTACTATTAAGACATTATTAACGTATCAGTGTTAGTTTCCTGCCTCTGATCATTGTACTGTGGTTACATAAGGGAATGTCCTCATTTTTAGTAAACACACACTGAAGGATTTAGGATAAAGAGGCATCATGTCTGCAACTTGCTCTCAAATTCAGGGGGAAAAAAGTACTTACAGAGAGGATGGAATAAATACAATAACGTTAACATTTGGGAGTCTGGTGGAAGGGATATTTGTTCTATTCCTGCAAATTTTCTGTATGTCTGAAATTTTGTGAAAACAAAAACTTAAAAAGAAAATAGGCGTTCTACCATCAGTAGCGGCCACCTCACATGCAGAGGTGGCTCAAGGGTCATGTGTGAAGAAATGTAAACATGATGAGAAGTAGGTGTTCCGTGAATATTTGATTTTCTAGGGAGGATGGAAAGGATTCTATTACAAAGCTGTTTGTGACACATAATCCCATTTTTTGTGAGTCTGGGCCTACAAAAATGTTAACCACTGGGGTTTTCTAGGTGAATTTTATTTCCTTCTGTACACCTATCTTTTTCGTCAATGAATCTGCATTACTTGTGTAATTATACACGCACTCATTCACACACACACACACACACACACACATACACACACACACACACACGATCCAGGCGAAACCTGGTTAGTGGCTATCAGGGACCAGCTTGTGAGATGCAGGAAGGACCAATCAGACCTGATTTACTCTCAAAGATCATACGCAGTGATTCCTACAAAACACTCAGGTCTCGCGCTGCCCCTTCCCCTCCCCCACCCCAGGTCCCCGGTCTGCCACAACGGTCAGGAGAGGGGGAGGTGTCACTCACACAGGAGCAGCAGATGAAGACCATGCAGAAGGCCTCCATGATGCCTGCGATGCCCACCACCCAAGTGAGCCTCAGGAAGAGGATGACACCAAAGATGTTCTGCAGGCATGGTAGGTACACACCCATGAAGGTGCCCATGCGTGGGGCCTGCCAGGGAAGCCAGTGTCAGTTTCTGCAGCCCGTAGTCACTATGAACACCCAGACCCCTCCTCCCCCCTATTTTCAATCCCCCATTCCCCTCCCTTCTCCGTCCCCATCCCTTCATCCCTCTTTCCTCTGGTCTTTACCCTCCCTCCCCTCTCCTCCCTCCACCTCTATCCCTTCCTCACCCTCAACCCCAACTCCTATCCCTCTGCCTCCATCATCCACCCCTTCAACTGACTCTCTTTTGTCCCCCCACCCTTTGTCCCCTCCACCCCTCCTTCCTCCCCCATCCCTTTTCTCCCCAAGGCCCTCACCTGCACTGGCTTCTTTTTTCCACCCTCATTGTTTTCTGCCTCTTCATGCTCCCTACTTCCCTGGGGCAGGTTGGTGTAGTTGGCCAGGCCACTGAGCAGGGAGGACACCATGGGGCTGGTGTCCATCTCCTCCTGTGGAGGTGGAGGTGGTAGAGTTAGGACACAAGGGCCCAGGAAAGGAGAGGCGAGCTACATAGTAGGAGGCAGAGAGAGATGGGGGTGAGGAAAACAAACCATTGGGGGTGGGATGAGATGGGGAAGGAGGAGGAAAAAGCACAGAGAACAGGGCAAGTGGATGTGGGATAAGGAGAAGGAGTAGCAGGGGTAAAGGGAAGGAGAAGGAAATGGAGAGGAGGACACTGTCCCTGAGGGAGGGAGAGAGGAGAGAAGGAGGGAGTGGCGGATGAATGGGGTGTCACACAAACTAGCAACCCACCTCAAACAGGGCCATATTCTTGCCATCATACTCCCTTCCCTTCTCTGTGTCAGTGCTGTTGATGAAGGGGCTGCTCTCCTTGGGGTTGCCATCACCTGAGAAGGCAGAGGAGTCAGGGGTCTGGCACCAATGGGTTGCCATCCTTCTGCCTGGGCATCCAGCTATGTGGCCACTTTGACTCTCTGAACCTCAGTTTGCACATTGGAAAAACGGAGCTAACAGTAATGCCCCCTCCCCCCCCGTAGAATTTTAGTTGACAGGATGTGTAAAGAGCCTAGTGCATTCCCTGGCACGTAGTAGGTTTTTAATGAAGATGTGAGTGCTTCCTTGCCCTTGGGGGGTCCTTCTTCATTCACTAGGTCACTCTAGACTCTCCAGGTGTCCCTCCTCAACCATAACTGGGACCACGCTGGTGTTCTGTGGTGAAAACATGCTCTTTCCCAGAGACAAAGGCAGAGAATACTAAAGCCTGAGGACCAAAGGATACTTTACCTCTTGGAGAAGTGACCCATGTGGCATCCCCTATGCCCCTCATGCATCTTCAGTCAACACATATTTACTGGATCTCTACCATGTGCCAAAATCAGCATGGGAGGGAGAGGGAGTAAAACACACACGAAGACACCATCTCTGTCCTCAGGGAAACCACAGGCAGAAGAGATAAAACAGTACTCATGAATTTCCAACCCAGAGTGGTAAATTCTGTGATAGGAGATGAATAAGGGACTGTGGGAATACAGGAGAGGCATTCAGCCCAGCCTGGGAGGTCACGGAAGGCTTCCCAGAGGAAGTGACAAGTAGGCTGAGAACTGAAGGATGAGTAAGAGCTACGCTGGGAGGGAGGCGGGAGGGTGTTCCAAGCAGAGAGAACTGCAGAACAGCATGTTCGATGGCCCAGAGGGAAGAGTGAAGAGAGTGGGTCAGAGATGCTGAAAGAAGCCTGATCTGGCTGGAGTCTGAAGAAGGGACATGGAGGGAGGGGCTGAAAGGTGGAGAGTGACCTATGAAAAGATGAGCCTCAGAAGGTGTAGACTCAGTCCTTAAATGATTAGCAGGCCATGTTAAAGATTTTGGACTTCATCCAGAGGACAATGGGAAGTCATTGAAGAGTTTCAGCCAAAGAGGTGCCATGAACAGCCTTGTGTTTTAGAGCAATCACTCTGGCCTTTAGATGGAGAATTTCATCTAAAGAAAGTTTGAGACTTTCAGTAATCCAGGCAAGGGCTGAGGATGACCCAGGCCAGAGCAATGCAGGACAATGGACAGACCCAAGAATTATTGGCACATATTTTTAAGCCAGATGTTTGGGGACATGAGAAGGAGAAATCTAGGATAATGTCTGGGGTTTCTAGCATAGGTCAATGAGTGGGTGATGGTGCTATTTAATAGATGTGGGAAGGGCAGAGACTGGGGGTGGGTAAGAAGCTGAATTTGACTGAGGGAAAGGCAGTATAGGACACTCAAGTGAATACGTCCAGAAGGCTCTTGGATATACAGAGCCTGGGCCCTAGAAGAAAGGCTGGGCAGGAGAAGGAGAAGAGGGTAACCTATGACAATGTGTGGAGGAAATGTGTGAAACCATGAATCTGGATGAGATCACCCAAGGAGTGAGTCTTTTGGGCCCCTAGCAGAGGTCCTTTCAAAGAGACATAGGAGACCCCCCATAGGCACTTTCCCTTGGCTTCAGCCGTCACCCTTTCTCAGCTCAAGGGCTGAATCCCAGTAGCAGACATCTGGAGAAAGTCCCCAATAAACAAATCCCAAATGAACCTGAGGCCCTACATATTCTGAATTTCCTGTCCCCTGGTCTCCTGCCGTGTCTTTCTCCACCTCCATCTTCCCAATCCTCCCCCGTTTTTCTCCTCCCTACCTCCTGGAAATCTTCCTTAGTCACCCAGCCAGGGTCCACCCCTAGAGCATGACCTGTTACAAATCCAGTCTCATCCTGACTCAAAGTTGTGGAAGGGGGAAGCGATGCCTCACCAGCTCAAGGGACACCCACCAACCTTCTCCTGCCACCACCTCCACCTCATCGATCAAGCCAGGAGCTCCTGGTCCCTAAACAGGGAGCCACCATCAGCTCATTCTTCTCCTCACATATCTGAGTGCCTGGAAGTAGCAGATCTGTCCTCCCAGTGAGAACCTGGCACATAATAGATGCTAAGGGGGGGGGGGGGGGGGCTGGAAAAAGTCTTTCTCAGGAGGAAAAAGTATTTGGAGATAAATTCCCCCCGGCTTCCTTCCTGACCCCCAGGATCTCAGAAGAGCTGCCCAGGGCCAGAGAACAGGAGAAATAAAAGAGAAGTGGGTTCCTCCTCCTTTTAAAAATGCCGACAAGATGCTTCATCAACACACTGGGTTGTGGGAACAAGAAGGGTTCAGGGGGATAACAAATTTCTTGGAAAAGGGCTGGGGGGGGGGGGGTGTCAAGATTTAGGCTCCAGTCCCAGCTTCACTGGCCGTGCCGACATGTTCGGCAAGTCACTTAAACTCTCTAAGCCTCAGTTTCCTCCTTTGCAAAGGGAAAATAATTGTGCTTAACTCACAGGGCTGTTTTGAGGCTGAAGGGAATAACGCCTATTGGGTGTGCCTAGCACATAAGCGTAACTATTGCTGCTATTACAAGTACAATTATTATTCATGTTCGTGGTGCCCCACCCAGCCCGTCCTCCGCATCCCACACCTCTCCCCAAGCCGGAAGATTTAGGGGCCCTGCCTCCTGTGGGACTGGGTACCTCTCCCCGCAGCGTCAGCTCCGCGCCGGGACTACAGGCCACGAGAGCCCCTCCTCTCTACTTTTCCCGCCCCCTCCCAAGCCCCTCCTCCTTCCTGGGGTCCCAGGGAACGCGCCGGGCCGCGAGGGGGTCGTCCTGGCCCGAGACCCGGCTCTAGGGAGTCCCGCGCCGGTCTCCATGGCGACCGCGCGGGCAGAGAGCGCAGCGCCGAGCCGAGGCGGCCACGCGCCCGCAGCCGCTTATGTAACGCGACGCGCTGCGCGGAGCCAGACTCGGGGCCGTTTCCCAGCTAGGAGATGAGGGCCGGGGAGAGGGCGGCTCGATAGGCTGGTCCTGGGTCCCGCCCTTCCACCTGCCATCTGGACGGGATGCCAGGCCGCCGGCCTCCTCTGCCGGGGGGCTGATTTCGTCCCCTCCCTGGAACGGCGGGCGCACTGGTGGAGGGGAGAGGGGTGAGCTTCAGGAGTTCTCAGAGGAGCAGGGGGAACTGCGAAGGGGGAACTCGCCCCGAATCCCCAGAGCCAGGACGCAGGCTGCCGGGTAGCGGCGAGTGGCGCGCGCGCGAGAGGCAGGGCCAGACTGAGGCTGAGCCCTCTCCGCCTGGCCCCCGCCCCCGCCCCCGCCCCCTGGGAGCTCTCAGCCCGAATCGGCTTTCAATTAAGCTGCGGCGGCCAGAGCTCCCGGGGAGGAAACAGGCGAGCGGCGAGGGCTAAGGAGCCTCCCTCGGGGGCCTGAGGCCAGGCCTGGGGGAATCCCCAAGCCAGATTGGGGTGGGGGAGGGCGTCAGACCCCAAAGGGATAGGAGGCGTGGGGGCCAGACACAGTATCCTTGGGTTCTTCCTTAGTCCGGATGAACCCTCCTGCTCAGGCTATTCCCACTTCCCTGAGGTCAGCACCTCACATTCCCAGGTCCTCCCCTACATCCCCAAGAACCTAAAATCAGAGATGGCAGAGGCTCTCAATCTGATAGTCCCTCTTCCCTCAAGTCCAGCAGGTCCTTAGAGCCCCCTACCATCACCTTCAGGCATCGCCGGGAGGCCTTATCTTTCTGGGACCCCAAATTCCTGACCAGGTCCTGGACCCTACACATAGAGAGAAAGTCTCCAGATGGACCTGCTACACTCAGAGTCTAGTAACTAATGGGGAGGGGGTAGAACGGAATGGAGCTTTTAGCTGGACTCCTGTTCCACACACATAGATAGATGCCTCTTTTCTAGGCCTCCGGAGACCCCATGGAAACCCCAAGGCCCAGTAAGGCAGGAATCTCAGGATAGAGAAATCAGGGCTGGGGGATAGGACCATACCCCGTATCTGGGGGGAGCAGAGATTCTCTCTCAGGCTGAGTCCCTGTCTTCAGAATGGAGGTATCTGAAGGGGATCCCAGATGGAAATGACACCCCCCCCCACATACACACACACACACACACACACACACACACACACACACACTCATTCCCGGGGCACCGCGTCGGGATGCCTGGATCTGTCGCAGACTCGACTTTGCCAAACCCTCTTCCCCCGGAGCCTAAGCCTGCTGGGGAGGGGGTCGCTGCGGGATGAGGTAACCCCAGGGTCACCCGGGAGATGGATGAACTAGCTGGCTAGCTGGTGGTTCTGACCTCTGTATACCACTCAACGTCAGGAAGGAAAAGAGGGTCTCAGACAAAGAATTGGGGACCCTGGTGCCCACAGCCTTCCCAAGCGGCCACTTGGCTCTGACTTGGATCCAGGATCCGGAAGACTTCAAGTCTAGGCTGCCAGTCCCTGGAAGACCTCGGTCTTTCAGTCCTTGGGGCTCTTTGGTCATCCCCCGGGGAGGTCTGCAAGAATCTCAGCCCAGAGGGTCAAGCAATGCCCAGGGGACCGTTTGAAAGCGCGGAGCGCAGACAGCCGGAGCGGGAGGCGCGCTAGTGCGCAAGGGACGCAGCGCCGCTGGAGGGTGGGGGGTGGGGGCGGCTGACAGCCGTGATGGATAGCTGAGACCGCTGGGGGGCGGCGGGGGGCCTGGGAGCCCGAGGGGGTGGCTGGCCCGGAGACCTCAGAGCGGGGAAACTGTGGAGGAGGGCGGCAGAAAGCAGGAGCGGCGAAAGGACCTGCTTCAAGCCCCCGAGCTCCTAGCGAGTCTCCGCACCCACCGCAGCGCGTCCGCAGTGTCCGCGCCGCGGCGGCGCCGGGGATTCAGCTGCTGGGACCCCATTCCTGAGGCCTCGCTGGGGAAGCTAGCAAAGCAGACTAGAAAACCTCCCCCTTGCCCCGCCCTGGAAACCTCACTGCCATCCCAGTGTACCGAGAGAGGAAGGGGAAAGAGGGAAGAAAGGAGGGTGATCTTGCTTCCCGTCCTGAATAGGAACCCATGGGTATGCGAGAGGGAGAGGGAGATTCCGCAAAGTAGAGCTGAAAATCTCCGGAGGAGGTACGCTTCAGTCTGAGGTCGGACCTCCGGCAGCTTTGGGGGAGGGGGGCCCCCGATTGCACCAAGTGTCCCCTTAAGGAGACACCACAGCCCGGACGGGGGCTGTCATATGGTTCCAACCCCCCATGGGTACCTTCCCCCCACCTTTCAGTTGAAAGTCTCAGAGCGAGGGACTGCAGCAGACTGCACCCCCCCACCCCCTCCCCGCGTCGCCGGTCAACGCTCTGCGCCAGGACGCCGGGGTCCCTTCTTGAGGAAAGGAACCCTTCCTCCCGCCCGTCGAGGTCCACGTCAGCCCATTCTAGCTCTTCCATCCCCTTCCCACCGCCTCCCCCGCTTAGCTAACGCACGTCTGCCCCCGGACCGTGGGCACTGGCAACCCCCTCGGCCCCCAGCCCTGCCACGGGCGCGGCGCATTCCAGCACCTTGGACAGCGCCTGGCGCATTCCAATGGAGTAGGGCTCCAGGCCGCCGTGGGCGCCCACCGCCCAGGTCAGTCCCAGCCTCTTCTCTGAAGGAGGCGGCCCCCGCTCTGCCTCTAACCCTAGAGCTGCCTCCTCTCCTCGTCGCCCCCTCCCTCGCCGCCCCCGGGCCGCTGCTTACCGGGGTTGGCTCCCCCATCGCCGTCCTCGCAGTCCGTCAGGTTGTTTAGCATGGTGGCGGCGCGGCGCCGGGCCCGGGGATGGCTGCTCCGCCTCGCCCGCGCCCCTCTGCCCGCCTTCGCCGCTCTCTCGCTCGCTCTAGCTCTCTCTCGCTCTCCGCTCCACGGAGGAAGAAGCTGCAGTGCCCGCCCGCCCGGCGCACACACACTCGCACACGGACACACGCTCACACCCGCGCGCGCCCCCTCTCAGCGGCGGCGCTGCTCACCTCATCCCGTATGCAGGAGGCGTGAGCCACTGGCGGGGTTTTGGGGGGGAGCGCGAGAGGGAGGAAGAAGAGGAGACGAGGGGAGGGCAGAGCGCGGCTGGAGGCCCCCTCGCACGAAAACTGGGGGCTTGTACGGGTGGGATGGAGGGGGTGCTGCGGGGGACGGGGGCCTCGCCTCCCACGAGCAGACGCAGCTCCGCCCGCCCCCCACTCCGCGGCGCAGGCGGGGCCGGCACGTGGGCAGGTGCCATCCCGCGCCCTAAAAATAACGGCAGGGAACTAGGTCGCGGCCGCGGGGAGGCGGCCCCGCAGCGGCTGCCTGGCTAGGGGTCTGGGGTGACCCCTAGGGGGAAGGCGAGGAGTACTGATGCGGCGGGGGTGGGGCGCCATGGAATACGGGTCTCTGGGGAGCCTGCCTGCAGAGCTGGGGAGGCCAGCCCTGAAGAAGAGTGGAGAACCAGACCCTTTCCCAAATCGCTGGTCAAGAGGTTGGAACTTGGGGTGTGTTGAGGCCAGAGCCCTTAGTTGAAGCCCTGTGCTGCCCCCAGGGGTTCAGGGTCACTGGGCTGAGCTGTCTGGCTCATTCTGTCTTAAAATGGGAGGAGTGGAACCTGAGGAGTTGCAGCGAACCCTCTCATTGTGCTTAGACTGCATCCCAGCATCTCACCCCCAAGACAAATCCCAGGAGTCCAAAGCAGGGACCCTCGGACTACAGAATGACCCTGGGAACGAGATGCGATGAAGAGGAGAGAAGGCAGCGGTAAGGTTCTAGGGATCTCGGACTCCCCACTAGGATGGTACAGCCTCCAGGGAGGGCAAACTGGTAGGAGGCAGGCCAGGGACAGAGTGGGGGAGGGAGGAATGAGGCCGTCAGTCGGTTTGGGACCAGATTTTCTCCTGGGGCAGGAGTGTCTAATCCCCTAATCCAGGATTGCTTTCTGAGGATTCCAGAGCCAGCATGCTCTCTGTGTTCCTCCCCCTCCCCTGACACCAGTCCTCCAGAAGCTTGACTGGGACCTCTCACAACCCCTAGAATCCAGACCTGAGCCAGTGGTGGAGACATCTCAGGAAGAAGCATCCCAGGTTTGGACCGTTTGTGTCTCCAGAAGATCTAAACACCCAAAGGGGAGAGCAGGTTAAGGGGAAATTATTTTCAGACTCACCCTAACCCCCAGCACTAGCCCTCTAAATTCCAGGAGAGTCCCAGGGCTGGAGAGGATCACATCAATCATCTTATCTAATAGACAGCTTTCACGTTATGGACTTAAAAAAAAAAAAAAAAAAAGCTAAGGCCCAAAGAGGAGAAATTACTGCCTATGGACACTACGCCAGTGAATGGCAGGATTCGGTCTAAAATCCAGTTTGCTTTATTCCAATTTAGGAGTCTTCTTCAACATAATTTCTTTTAAAATTGGTCCTGCCTCCAACAGAAGGGACAAAGATACATTCAAACCAAACTGCTCAGCCGTCTCCGATCCTTGGCTACTAAAAAGGGAACAGGGATCAGTCTGAAATGAGCTCTCTCCTTTCTCTTGTGGTCAGGCTTCAGAGGTGCAGGACTGAAGTACCCCTTGCAACTGGAGGTAGGCCCAAAAGATCTCCAAGGGTCCTAAAAAGCCATCCACATGACTGGAGACCCCATTCAAGGGCACGGATTTTCAGAGTCACGGACAGGGCCTGCTGTTCAGAGTCCTGGTACGCATCTGTCAGTGGCCTCAGATCAGGTTGATCACAGTTTTTGGCAGCTGATGGAAAGGGGCTTCTGAGGGATCCACCAATAAGGTGTCACTGCCACTGGGTTTTGTGGATGCTGGAAGGACTTGTTAGGATGGAGAGCTAGCTATTCAGACAAGGTCTAAGAATTGGTTTTCTTGGCTTTCCCAGGGAGAAAACCACAAAAAAGGGAGATGGGTTTGGCGTGGTGGCAGGGGTTAAAAGGACAGCAGGTGGATAACAGTGTTCAAGAATTCGTAAACACTCCACTATATACACACCCCACCATCACCACCACGAGCAGCAGCATCGTGGTTTTCCACTACTCTGTAGGGACAGGTAACATAGCAAAATGTGTAGCATGTTTGTCCGAGAAGTACTGTGAAATAAATTAAAGGCTGAGATTTTTTTTCTCCAGCAATCTCAGATCTGGGACGTTCCCCTGGATCTGTTTCCATCCGTTTGTGGTCCAGAGCCCTGGCCACTCAGGGACTAAGCCTACCCACAGGTGGAACCTAGATCCCAGGGGAGTAGAGGTGAAGGCAGAAGTGATACCTCTTCCCCTGGATACCCCCTCCGCCCACCCTCACCAGAGCTTCTATCTCACAGGACATCTGGGATTCAAGAGATAGTGATGTTCTCCTGCCGTCTGCCCCCAAATTCTGTGTATCCCTGGGGAAAATTAAGTTGCTCTTTCTGGGCTTTAGTATCTCCATCTGCAAAATGAAAGGGTGAGGCCACATAAATCCAAGGGACTTCTTCCCACTCTGAAAGCTCTTAATGCCCACTCCATTTATCTCAGACTAAAGCCATGGAGCCCTTCCTAAGGAGCCCAGACCAAGTAAGGAGACAGACCCAAGGGGAGACCCTGCCCCTTCAGTTCACACTCCCTGCCTCTGAAGGAGACTGATACCTATTCTGGCCTCAGGCCAACCCTCTGCCACGAGACTTTGAGAAAACACATTGCAGGCATCTTCTGCACTGCCAGCCTGGCCTTGGCCGGTAAGGTCACCAGTAAGGTGACCCTCAGCCCTGAGCCCCAGGAACATGGCTGTCAGCTTAGCATCTCATCTCCACCCAGAGCCCTAGGAAGATTCCCCTAGGGCTAGGGGGATGCTCTCATTAAACCAACACAGATGCTAGAGCTAGGAAGGGTCCTGTTTCTGAATTTGAAAGCTCTAAAGTTCACGGCCCCCCGCCCCACCTTATGCTTCTCACAGAGAAACAAATTTCACAGAAGCTGCCTGAGTGTCAGGATGTGGGAACTGGACGAGACTCTATAAGTTATTTTTGACCACCCCTCATTTACGGGGAAATTAAAGCCTCGAAGCGGAAAGGTACAAATTTTCTTCATGGGGTGAACGTGTGGCAGACTGGGGACTAGAATCCAGCTCCCTGACCTCCAGGCCAGGGCTCCATCCGGGGAACCAGAGTAGGAGGCCATTTGGAGGAAGCTGGAGCCACCTGACTGGATTTTCTTGCCACACGAGGCAGACATAGCGTTCCTCTTTATGGCTTAATCCCTGTGCATCCTTATCTGCGTATCATTACCCCCATGACCTAAGCCACCCACCCCAGCTTTGGCCTTCTGGAGCCAAGGCTCCGAACTCCCTCTTTCACTCTTCTCTCCCCAAACTACATGCCGGTCCTCCAGACCCAAAACCCTCTCAGTGAATTGATGAGTCCAGCGCATAGCACACCCCACACACACAGGGCTCGCCGCAGAGCACGTCAACCACCATCGTCTCCGTGGCAACCAGGGGCTTAATTAACAGGCTGCAGCCCTGTCACCATGGCAATGGCACCCCAACAGCCCCCTATTCCCCTACAGATTCAACCCGTCTTCCCTCTTTCTCAATCTGGACCCCCTTCTCACTGCACCCACCACCCCCACCCCCACCCCACCTGGAGAGCTGGTGCCCGCAGATCGCTCTGGTTCATTGAGAAGAGGGGAGGGGAGATGAGGGGGATGAGAGAGAGAGAGAGAGAGAGAGAGAGAGAGCAGCCCGTCACCATGGCAACTGCAGCCCCGTTCATAACCAGTTTGTTGCCATGGAGATTCCCAGGGCTCACCTTGGGCTGAGGTACTGGGCTGTAAGGTTCTGAGTCCTGGCTTGAGGAAGGGGTGACTGCACAACAACCTGACCAGGCTGGAGATCTCCGGATCATATATTTATACCAATAACTCAGTGTCATTCCTCCCAATTTACAGATAGAGAGACTGAAATATGAGGTTTGGGTATGGGAGAGGCAGAGAACCTCACCCTTCTAGATCATCAAAGAATCCTAGCATTTTTAGGGCTAGAATGACCCTCAGATAGCTTCCTGTTCAAATCTTTTTTACTACAGATGAGGAAGTTGAGGCCCAGACAGGGAAGCAACGTGCCCAAGGCCACAGCACAGAGGCTGAGCTAGCGCATGGATGGGCTGTACCATGGTCTACCCCCTAGCATAAAGCGGCTCCTTGTCACTCATGGGAACACATCTCAACTCCCGTTAGCCTTAACCCGGGCCCAGGGTTCTTTCCAGTGCCCTGTCTCCCTCCACCAGAAACTGAGGCACAGTGGGAAGTGGTGTAAAGGCGTGGGGAAATAGTTCAGAGTTGCAACAACTGGCCCTGGGTCCGCTTCTAGCCAGCCAAGTCACCGTCACTCTCCCCATGGTACCAATGAGGCAAATGAGGTATGGGGGCTGCAGCTGAGGGTTAGTGGTGGATTCAAGGATCAGCCTCTGATTTGCTGCTGTCACCCCTCTAAGCTATGTTCCCACTATAGCTGATCCTCTGGCAACAGGAGGCACTTCCGGGGACAAACTCCACTCGCTTGGTCCAGAGTTAAAGACAACGCTCGTACACAAGTGACCTGCCAAACGTCTCCCAACCCTACTCTACCTTCCACAGGCTGCCATCTGTCCCCGTGGCCTGGGTGAGGACAAGAGGTGGGGAAAACATCTCCTTGGGGCCAGAGGTGGACACGAGAACAGCTGTGGGAAAGATATCACCAGATTTTGGGTTCCCCTAGGGAGCCCTTTTCTACTTCCCCATGCAGTAACCTAGCAAGGAGGAGGTGCTGGACGCTGTCTCGGGGCCAAAGAGGTTAAAAGTCACCCAAAGCATTCCCAAGATGAAACTTCTAATAAACTCATACACACAGGTACCCACTCCACAGACAAACATGGAAATACATCAACATGCCCATCAACACCCCGGAATACAGTGACACATATAAGCTCTGACTCACTGACCGCCCCACAGGTCATCAGAGCTCGCGTGGGATGCTCCT